CAAAAGCGAGCCCACAAAAAGAGTAAGTAGACAAACCTAGCTTCAAATGATCCAAATGCAGTGTTTTTAAGGGTTCTTAGGTCCAGCCTGGAGGGTCATTCTTGAAATGCCACTTTTTGAGCATCTCTGGATTTTTTCTTCTGCTATTCCAGAACAATAAGCTTCTATGGTTTCCAGGCACACTTCTAGGCAAGGGTTAACATGAAACAGGAACAGGCAAGGGTAAGATATGGCACTTGTAAGTGTGCTCTATTCATTTTAAAATGCTCTAACCCTTCTTTTTTGTGCACATATGTTTTAAGCTCTCTTGACTAGGTACCTATAATCTCATATGTTCGTAGAGCACCAAGCATATTTATAGGTCTATCATAGGCAAATAACTTACCTCTCACTGTCAGATGTGACCACTGCCTCACTTTCTCCTGTCTCCATGGGGTAGTGTCCCCTCTTGCTGTGTATAAATTAGCCCTCCTGCCAGACTAAAGAGTCCACATGAAACAGGAAGACAGTCCTTTACCTTCCCCAGCCCCAATTCTGTCTGTCAGATCCATACAATCTTCTTTGCTTGGTTGCAGGGGTCTAAAGTTATTTACCTTACCTAGACCACAATCCCATCTCTAGGGCCAGCATGATCTTTTCCCTTTGTTTGCATGGGTTCACACAACAAAGTCCTTCTTGCAGTCAGAGATATCACCAGCCCACCCCGAGTTACAGGAGACAGCCTTGTTCTTCCTCTACCACAAGTTCAAACCCTGGGGCTCTAGACTATGAAGCAGCTCTATACTCCAAATAAAAACCACCACTGCTTCCCTTCCCCCACATAGCTCTCACATCTCTAGTCTCCTGCCTTCTAACAGTTTCCCTCCTAGGCTGTTCTCCACACTTATTCTTAGTCCCTGCTCACTTCCACTTCAACGAGCCCCACCAGCAGTTACTAATCTCTCCTCTTCATGATGGAAGGATGCTTATTTATATCCTGCTTCCCCCTTCCCAGCAGCTTTCTCTTCCCATTGATGCCTGGGAGCTATGAACTCCTGAATGCCTTGCTACTTGACCAGGGTTATAGTGAGCCATAAGAAACACTATTATCATGAGCATTGGGGCCTACCAATTTTACCTCAGGCTACCACAGGGGCTAGTCTATAAGGCTCCTTATCTGCTTTTGCTACACAGAGGAACAAATTAACTGCAGGTACTTTGCCACTGGGAGGGACTGAGCGAATAAAACCTGAAGCCTATATCACCGAAGGAAGTCTGAAAATCCAGGCTCATTCCATGTACTTCAATATTACCAACTCTCCTGATTTGACTGAGAGTCTTATGATAGTGGGTGTTTTGTTAAAAGCCTTAGTTCCTGGAGGCATGATATTTCATGAGAATGTCAGCTTTCATTTAAAAAAAAAGCAAGTTTCTTCATTGGTCCGTAGAAGAGCTTAAAACGGGAGCGGAGTTTAACCAAAGGCAAAGATAAAGGACCTACAAGACACTGATTTTTTTTTTTAAATTTTTAAAAAAATCTCATGATTTTGGTGGTTTGACTTAACTTTTGGACATTTGGGATTGGTAACACTAGTGTCTTCAGGGCTGAATTGCACTACTGAAGCTTCCTAGCTACAAAAGCTGATCAGTGAGACAGTACACAATATAGGCCAAGTGCTACAGTGGACCACCCTGAACCAGCAAGGAACCTATCTATGCCGTGTGAACAAAAAGCTGGAAACCAGTTGGAATAATACTAACTGTTGGAAAAACCCTTGGGGTGTATCTGCCACCTCCGTGCCAGGTGACAGTGCTGTGAAAGAAGTTCAGCATAGATCCATGACCCCCTGAAGTCTATTAATCATAGATCTAGAGTTCCATAAGGCCATCCAAGAAGTGTGGTCCAACGGATGGTTAAACAGTTGTTCAGATGGGTAGGAGCACTGAAGAGAAAAAGTTATGCCAGAGAAGGCAACAGGCAAATGTGTATGTATGGCCCCATTACTGTACTATCTGACTGTCCCACCATCTAACATATTTGTCCTCACAACACCCCTGTGAGACAGGGAAGTGCTATTTTTCTCGTGGGGATCCACAGCAGAGAGATGAAGTGAACTGCCCGAGGTCACTCCCGAGGCCTGCAGAGAGCAAGGAACTGAACCCCTCTCTCTAAAGTCCTAGGCTGATGCCTAACCATTAGACCATTCTTGCTCTCACCCACACCCCTCTAAGCCTAGAGTAACACCATTGATTTAACATGCATCTTAAGAAGTTGGGTTTTTACCCACAAAAGCTTATGCCTAAATAAATCTGTTAGTCTTTAAGTACTACCGGACTCCTTGTTGTTACCATTGATTTAGGAAATACTGTTTCACTAGGAGGGTGGTGAAGCACTGGAATGGGTTACCTAGGGAGGTGGTGTAATCACCATCCTTAGAGATTTTTAAGGCCTGGCTTGACAATGCCTTGGCTGGGATGATTTAGTTGGTGTTGGTCCTGCTTTGAGCAGGGGGTTGGACTAGATGACCTCCTGAGGTCTCTTCCAACCCTAATATTCTATGATTCCCAATGTAACTGAGCAGAATTCTTGTCTCAGGGAAACCCAAGACAAAGCATGAGACAGGTCAAATGAGGGCATCCCTTATGGACAAAGAAAAGGGGTGGGAAAAAGGCCACAGACTTTCATATTCAAACAAAAAGCCCTGAACACACAAACCTGACTTCAGGTGAGCCAGATAAGGTTATCAGTGGATTAAGCCCTCAAACAAATAAAAACCAAAAGGCAAACAAAGTGATTTCACATTCTGTCAAGGCATCTAGGGCACACTACAGGACCCCATCATAGGAAAAAGGGGGTGGGAAAAGATATCATAGCACCATTGTCTGGCTACAGAAGCTCAAGAAAAGCCCTGCAATAAACTGGCTGCTCCCGGAAGTTCTACCAGTCCTCATAGAGAAGAAATAGACTGATTCAGTCACATTCACAGGGCACATTCAGCCCCAGGCAAGAAAGCTTAACGCCATTGTAGTCAATAGAATTACACAAAGACTGAGCCGTCTTATGGAACTAATTTGAGTTTATTCTATAACTAAATTTCTTCTGCTGATTATTTTTTTTTATTATTCATTACTACTAGTGACAGGAGAATGGCCAGAAGTCTTTTTGTTGGGTGTGCATTTTAGTGTTATCTGCCTTGGGCATGGGTCATATCAAATCAGCATATGACAAGCCTGAATGAGCTTGCAGGGCTTCTATTAGGTGGGAGGCAAGAAGTTCAGCAATGAGATCCATAAAAAGGCATGGAAAATAGGAAGACTCTTGAGCTAGGTTTGGATCATTTCACTGAACCCTTAATCCCAGCAATCCCCAGTTCCTTGCCTCCCACTACTCCTTCTGCTATCTCTTTGCTACAGTTTACAGCAAGCTCACACCACCAGGAGGAAGTGCGTCTTATTCACAGCTAACTAATTTCCCCTCATAACAAAGGCAGGTCAAGAGCCTCTGCTTCTCCACCCTTCCAGGTCCAATCAGACACAATTCACAGGGCGACTGCCTTCCTTGACCTGGGTCTCACACATTGTAGTGCGTTAAGTAATAATGCAAGTCACTAGATTACTGCCATTTATTCATCCCCCCACTATACTGCAGAGAGGACAGATTAAAGTTTCTGCACATGTGCATGCATGCACACACTTTAATTAGGTGTTAACATTGCATAAAACTTTTCATTTAAAATATAAAATGAAGTAAACTACAAAAATGCATGTTAACACTTCACATCAGGCACAGAGCTCAGGATGTTAATACATCCAATCAGCAGCTTTTAGAGCTGGTGTAGTCAATAGGCAGATCATGGGCCAAATCCAGACTGCCACACATTTTTGAAGGGACTGAAAAATCTTTTTATTTATGTATCATTATTATTATTATTGTATTATTTTCTCTGCAGTCTGGACCTTGACCGAGAAATTTAGACCTTGACAAAAAACAATTGATTACCCATGGTTTAGACTTTAGAGGCAGCTTTAAAGGAAGACTGTTGAGTACTCTTATCTCTGCATCGCATTACAAGGAATGTAATAAATCACTGACCATACCTTGAAAAAGTGTCAAATATAATTTTTAAGACAGAGCTGTCATTTTGCCATCCTGGGAACAGGAAATGCAGCCAGGGAATCGATTGCATGAAAGGAGGCAGCTTTCAAAATTGCTAGTTTCCTCCACATCTTTTGGTCAATTTAACAAAAGGCAAATCTCAAGCCCCCTTTTTTATATTCGGTAGCTTTCTCCTGTTTTTCAACCACCATTCACTGTAGCTAACTACAGCACTGGCTCCAGGCCTTAGGCATACCAGGAAATATACATTCCTCCCAGCCTCCCAGCACTTGCATTTATATCTTTGTTAATGTTTTGAAAGATAGGATAAACAAACAGCACATGAAGTTCTCAAAGAACACTAAATTGGGAGGGGTGATTAACACCAAGAGTACAGAGAAACAACAGGAGGGATTAGATATACAGGCAAAAATAGAGAGAGTCAGCCTAGAAAAATGCAAACACACATCAGTGTAATAATTGTTGAAGACAATACACAATAGAAGGGTGACACCTGGAAAATAGTAAAGCGGAAAGTAAATCAGATAGCAAAGCAGGTTATTTTACAGCATAATATGGTGGCAAAATAAGGCAATGTAATTTTGGGCAGTACACATTAAGGCCTCACAGATCAGGCCTGTACTGACACTGCATATAGAATACTACAGTGTGAGACAGAAAGATGTTAATAAGTAGGAAAGAATTCAGAGAATGGTGTGTGTGTGTGTGTGGGGAAGTGGACTGGATTATTAATTAAAATAACTGAATATGTAGATCTTAGCTATATGGTGGAGGAGAGATGATAAAGTTGCCTTTTTTTGACCTGAGTAGCTAGTCACAATTCAGGGTTCTGCCTTCTGGGGATATTCCAGTTTGAAGTAGAAATTGATGGAGTCTGATACTTTGATTAAATCTTGTTTATTTACAAGGAATGTACAAAGTCCTGCTTCTCTTAACACAGGAGGAAAAACCAAGAACAAAAGGAGCATTTTCTTAGTTTATAGCCCCAAGCCTCTTTAGCCAGATTTCTCACTAGCTTTTTTCCTGGGTTACATTGTGCTCACTGGTTACTGCTTGGTTTTCTTGCTTTTTGCCTCTGCCTGTCTCTTGGGCTGGCGCTGGTAGGGCTTGTTTTAGGAGTGGTCCCTTAACTGTCTCCCAACTATCTTGAGAGAAAGGTACATTCACACATCAGTTTCAACGAGGTTTTCACTCAACCCACAATAAAATTTAACTCAGCTCCAAACACTAACTTTCTACAAGTATATCAACACCATGGAGGGAGAGGAATAGTTCAGGGCAGAACAAGGCACCTTTGTAATACAAATAATAACTAAATAAGTAAACAAACAACAAGGATTAGGAGTTCTAGAATGAACTTTGGCAACAAGAGACATATGTTGAGCATCAGGGAGAAGTTCCCTGCTTTATGCCGAGGAATAGTCTCCTCAGGGAAGTAAGTGTGAGTTTAAGTTTTTTAAAGCTGGACTGAACATAGCACTTGAGCATGTATCATGGGAACAAACTGCATTAGCAGGGCGATGAGCTGAATGACATGCTAGGTCTTCCATCTCTAGTTGGTACAGTTCAGACATTAGACACTCAATATTTGCCAGCCTTTGGCAATTTCATGTACGAAAGTCTTTAAATTTGTTTGAAGTTTCTTTTCAAGTACATGGTGAGAGAGATAAATCCTAAGAGACATTTTAAAAATCTATAAACATCACCTGGAAATTAAACAGAGCCCATTATTTCTGTAACGTCTACAAAGAGCAATGGTCGTGCTCCAGCCACAGGAGTTCAGTAATAAGTACTACTCCCAGACCCGTATTAAAGATATGACACAGACAAAAGAGATTAGTACTTTTGAATTTAACAAAATAGACACAGTAAAGTTCAACTCCATTTAAACGGTAAAAGAAAAATTTGCTAAACAGAAAAAGACAAGATTGAAAGGGAGAAGGTACATTAACATTGTTTAGTCACTCTTCTGACTACCAATGTCACCTCCCGCCCCCATGCTCTCAATGTCCCTTTTGACCTTTAATGTGCTTTGGTCAGTCTGCTTTTTCCTCTAGTCTTCATATAAGAAAGGTGTGTATACTAGTGTGCTGTTTATAATCCCATACTAAGGGCCAGCTCAGATACCATGGTGATGGGAGTAGCCTAAAAACCTAACTAGAACAGAAAGCTTAGTGAGATGCCTCATACAAGTAGTCAGTTTGGGAGCTAAAGAAGAAAGTAACAAAGCAACCTTTCTTTGCAGATTTTAAAAGTGGTGAAAGAATGGTCTTTGAATGACAGCTACAACTTGGTCTGTAGAAAAAGCTTAAACTCTCTCATCACAAACCCATCCAGCCCAATTTGTTCCAATGTGTGTGGATTGGATTGCTTTACATCAAAAGCCAAATGCAACCTGTGTGTGGGTGTACATCTTACCACTATCTGCATGTTTATCCATCACCCTAATAGATGGATTGAGTTTTATTCAGATGCATGTGGTCATGTCACCCTCCAGTGGCTGCAGCCTGATGATACCTTTTTATTTCCTTTGTAAAGAGCTTTACTATATAAGAGCTAGGTATTATTATTATTACAAAGGAGTTAGGGCCTGATCCAACTCCCTCTGAAGTCAATAGACAGACACCTATTGATTGCAGTGGAAGCTTGGTCAGGCCCATGAGCACCAATATGTCTGCACAAATGCAAACATTTTACAGGATACTATTCATTATTTTTAAATCACGCCGTTGATTATGTTCTGATTAGTTGGGAACACTAGGTTGGTATGTCAGTGAACAGCATGTCAGTAACCTGCAATTTCAATTTTCCTATGTAGATCCTAAAGGCTTTAAACAGGGGAACAACATTTTAAGAGAACAGGGGCAGTTTTTTCTTCTTGTACAAACAGAAAGGGAGTAAATCCCATCTTTTGTAGAATGGGAACTCTCTTATGGTTGTGCAAGTGATGCAGTGTCCAGCACTACAGTTCCATATAACCACATTCAGCTTATTGCTTAACCATGGATCAAATTGTTCCCGGTGTAACTCCGGTGAAGTTAATGGAGTTATGCTAGGATGGATTTTGATTCCTTGGGCCTAGCTGTAATGTTTGAAACAAACAACATCAGAGGTGTCATTCTGTTGCAAGAGGTCAGGGCAAGGTATTAGAACTGCCCCTTGAAATTGTGAAACTAATGACTACTCTTTCCTTAATGAATTAGTTTTCCTCTATCATACAGTGGTACTGATTTGTTATTGTCAGGTTGTTCATGAATGCTGAACTGCTGAGAATTAAATATTTGTTCTTTAAAGTGCTCACTGTTATTGAATATAATAGCACTAGTAAAATGCTGTAGCCCAAGGCAAAAGAGCAGTACCTTACCGAGGGAGTTTCTTCTCCTGCAAACTAACTAGTCATTCAGCAGCAAGATACTGTAATGGGTGGCTCAGAAGCGTTGAAACAAGTTATAACCCAGAACTACAATGGTCCCTTCTCTACCAAAGGTCATACATTTCCCTCTGCTACTTATAGGAGCTCTGGGTTGAGATTTTCAAAGCCAACTATGGAATCTGAACAGCTAATTCCCATTGAAGTTAATGGTAGTTGTATCTAAATCCCAGAGTCAGCTTTGAAAAATCTCAGTCCTGATCTTTAAATATTAGAGCTTGATTTAATATTCACAAATTCCTGGCTCCTTTTGGGGAATCTACATGGTGGGTTTTTTTTGTTTTTTAAAACCACATTTATCATAAACAGAAAACCATTGAGGGAGGATGAAATTGCTAATGGCAGAACTGGACTTTGTATGGAAAACTGGCATATTCAAATTCACAGTATAATTCCCCACAAACTAGACAGACCGGATCATTCAAATTCTAATTTTTAGTATACAGTAGCTTTCCACACACAATACTAGAAAGCTCTCCAGCTCATGCTGTCTGTGCCTGCAGAATGTTTAATCTCCATTGCTACTGCCGGTTGGACTTTGCCAACCTTGGAAGGCAGCAGTTGTGGTCAGCAGAAAAAAACATCTTGCATCAACTCAGCATAATTCATCGTTAGGGGGCATTCCTCAGTCTCACAGGTGAGATGTCAGAAACGGTAACTGGCCTCATCTCTGACTTGTTTCTCCACTCATTACTTCTGTCAGCACACAACACAGCAGACCCTGAGGGGCACAAACGCAGTCAGAGTCTCTCACATAATAAACATTTATTTATAGATGTACAATTGTATAATTAATTCTAAATCAAGAAATACAGATTCTGTGAGTATCCTTTAGGATCTATGCTTTATTGCACATAGCGCTTACCATCCATGGATATCTACTTGAGAAATCAAAAGATTTGGTTGGATGGGCACTGGAGCAGGAGTGCCATTTTTACAAGATGTCAGCACCTTTTGCAAACATGAGTTGTCTCTCACATTTCCCCTCCAACATTTCTTAATGCTGGGTAGCTCTTGTGCCTCTGTAAACAGCATTTATTCCAAAATATTTTATTTCCACCATACCCCTCTCCAAAAATCTGGGGGATATCTTTTAAAACTTGAAATCAGATCAGATACACCACAGTCGTGGATAGTAAGGCTTGCAATGAACAGGAGGGCTCAGAACCATTTTGCTACATAAATATCCAGTTAAAAAATAGAGCTGGTCAATTTCAAACAAAGAGAAATAAACCCATCTGGCCTTTCACTTTTCTCCCAGCCCTTTACCACCTTACTTGGTAGCCATTGCTATTTTGATAAATTACACCATAAGGGAACTCTGAAAACTGTTCTTATAGGAAACGTCTTTAGGCAAAAATTAACATCAGGGTAGAGAAGAATCCAGTTTGTCCCATTAATGGTAACTTAGCTCATTCAACTTTTGCCTCTCTCACTTCATGTGTCAAAGAGATACGCTGGGTTTAGAATAACCTTGAGCGCTATCCTGTTGCTCTAATCCAGGTCCTGCTTGCTCAAGCAAGTAAACCTAAGGCTTTTAGCAGCATAATTTCTTCTTCTAAAATGAATGATGGGCAAAACCATTGCTGTAAAATGGGTAAAATGTAGTGTGATCTACACTACACTGTCAGATGCGTCAAAGCCCAATTAAGCAACTGAAAATTAATCATCCCCCTTTCTGATCTCCCCACCAAAACTTCTTTCACAAGAATCAAAGACTCCGTTTTTTTGGGATGTCAATACAGGTTGAAACATCGGAAGTGTTATGGCAAGGTAACAGCCATATTACAGTTAGCAGTCCGCTGGATGAGGAACTCTGAGTTCAGGAACGAGAAGAACAAAAGGATATAGCTCGTGGCAGGCCCTGTTTACAGAACTAATGCTGCACACTGATTACAAGGCAGAAATAAAGCAGACTCTGGAAAAAAAAGTTACACGCACACACACACAAACCAAACTGAACACTGATGAGCTAAGACCATTTACGATAATCCTCTCCTTGCCGTACAAGAATCCAGCACTCAGTTGACTGCCACCAATTAAATTAATATAGCAAAAACAAATCAGAAGTCTGGTCAATTTTAAGAAATCTTCTTTCTACAGATTTTGAGATTCTTTTATAAAAAAAACTCAGTCACAAAATTATATTTTCCTCAACAACATAAAAAAAAATAAAATAAATGTAAAGTGTCATCAAATGACAACCTGAAATTGGATAGTTCTGCAGGGCTGGATGGCCCCCCAAAACAGGTTAGAGTTCACACTTTACAGTTTACTAAATTGGGCAGAAAACTAAATAATTTAATCCAATCCCTGCATAGTTTAAAAGTACAACATACATACAGCTATAAATTAATTCTAAATAGATAGATTCTTTTCTTATTAATTGGTTTTTAGTCCTAAAAAAATCTTCCAATTTCTCTCTCCGTTCGAAGTGACCAGTGCAATCATGGAAGGGTCTCCTTCTGCTTCACGGCTTGCTGCAGTTTGTTTTTTTATTCTACACTTGTTCTCATGGTTGCTGTATCCTAGGAGAGACTAGACTGTCGCACTCTAGTGGTGTTGGAAAGAAGGGGAGAAGACAGGCAGCTTTATTTCCTAACTGCTGCCTGCTGCATCTAACATTGGAGAGAGAGAGAGAGAGAGAGAGAGAGAGAAGAGAGAGGGCAGTTGTGCGTTGCTAATTCTCCAATTCCACTTTAATTTAAGGTTTGATTCTTTAAATATAAAGTCTGTCACCTTGGCTCAGTGCACTTCGCCAAAAGTCTTCAGGCATTTCAAGAGTCTGGGAATAAAAGTGGTAACCGTGTCAGTCTCCAATCCATGGTAACCATTTAACAGAAAACACCTTCCCCACCCACCTCCCCAAATTACAGGTAACATGTCTAACTGAAAAATGCTAAAGTAGTTCTTTATTTTACAGCTACACTCTTCATTAGACCATGGATACACAGAGATATGCTGAGTTAGAGAGAGAGTGACAAAGTTAATTAAAATATTTCCATTTAATAAGAGGAACAGTTATCAAAACAGGGTACAGGGCATATAAAAAAAAAAGAAAAATCCCAAATGCAAGACACACTCAAAAATGGCAGACACCTGAGCTCAGAACTGACTTGAAGGACTAAATTTTCAAATGTGCGCCACTTGCCGAAAAACAAAACAAAAAACCCAACCCTAGCCCTCCTAACTTACTTGGGTACACAACTTAGGTGACCAGATGTCTGACATACAAGATAACTAAGGTGTAATGGATATGCGTGCATCTGAAAATATGGTGCTAAGTGTCATTTTGTTCCCCACTAACAAGCCCCTGCTTTTAATTAAATTTGTGAGAGATGGGGAAAGCCTGTGTGTTTTACATTCATCCTGTTAGTTGCTGATGGGTGAAGCCTCCTGCCTTTGCAAAAAATCAGACCTAATAATGACCGAGGGAAGAGACTCCATACCCTGGGCCAAATTTTAATTTATTTGCACACAGCACTCCTGTGAGTAATCTAGTGCTACGTTCGTTTATGCCATTTGAACTGCCACCATACCACTCTGGTTCATCAGGTTTACCACGCTATTGTGCTGCGAAGACACCATGAGTCTCCAGCACTCTCAGCTGGCTTCTCCCTGACTCCCAATTCAATGAAGTGAGTTACCTTTACAACCTGCTGCATAGAGTGAGAGTTTGGTTTGGTTTCACTGAGTTTCTAGGGAAGACGACAGAGGGACAAGAAACATCTATCTTACAGAAATCTCTTCCCTGTTATCGTATTTCTTCAAGTGCCATGGTACAATAAAATAGGGAACAGAGCAACAAAAACGGGCATTAGAAATGTGACTGCCAGTTGCCCAATCTGATAAATGCTTGATAAGGGGAACAACTTCTGACCAGCCAAAGCAAAAAGTGACATTGTCTCAAATGGATGCTTGACAAGAACTCAGCTGACTCGCAAACATAGCCAGGCCTTTCACTTTGCTCCCAGAGAGCTGACACCAGCAATGCTAAGAAACAGATGTGAACTGGAAGAGCATTTGAGGTGCTGGCATGCAAATTAAACCAACCATCCCAGTGAAGGTGTATATGCTTGACAGAGGGTTATGCTTTCTCCTTGTTACACATGCACATTGAGAGGAGAGACACATGGAGATCTATATCTCAATTAGACATTTAAATAAGTATGAAAATCATTGATGTGTCATGCTTCAGTGTCACAGGAAAATCACCAGCTCGTACTTAGACCTCCGCTGAGTGGTCTAGTAGTGACTATCCATGCATAGAGGCTTGAACTTCAGACAGTCTGCTACAGCTTGGGGTGCCCATCCTCTGTGCTCTTTGATACAGATCTGAATCTCCAAAGTAACGTGCTCGATAAAGCAAGCCTTCCTCTGAAAAGGAAAAATTCCAACATTAAAAACAATCATTCACCAAGATGTGAAGTGTGATGTCTCAACTCCTCAACATCCCATTGATTTCAATGGGAAAAGGATCTGTCCTCAAGTTCTTCAAGGCCAGATGAAGTACAGCGAGAGGGTACGGAATACCTGATGTCCTTTGGAACAGAACAAAAGTGATCTTTGAGCCCTTCAATGGCTCATCCTAAGGGAAGTTTTAGATATGTGCTGGGAACTGGAAGTAGCCCTAGTGTGAATTAAATGAGTAACATAATGGGTGCCTGGTAGTGTGGGAAAGAAGAAATATGGAGGATCAGAGTTTATCACTCTAGCTTGGTCCGTTGCATTGCTCTGCAGCAACAACTTTGGCTGACTCAGAATAGCAATGTCAGGGTGTCACATTCAGCACTTCTTGGTGAGAAAGATAATTCGCATGTTGTGGGGATCCAAGAAAGCTTTGGAATCTTTTTTATCCCATACAAACAACAATGCCAATGTATTTACACACAAATCCCAAACTGAGCATTAGTTCAAAGCAGCTGTAATCACCTATCATACAGGCATTTGAGAAAGGGGCCAATCGAGGGTGGAGTCAATAAAATGTTATCTTTGATGATAACTCTTTAGAGTTAAACAGTCATAAAAAAACCTTGAAAATGACGAGGATTCCATTTTTCACTTTGTAGACTCTCTGATATGGCTTGTTAGACACAACGGGGCTGTAAAGATATACACTTCGTAAGCACTAAATCACTTTTTTCTAAAATGAAATGATAACCCCAGGGCAATAAGGAAACATCAGGAAACTCCTGAGAGTCTCCTGGCCCTACCTTCCTGATCCCTCAGGAAATCAGAGAATTCTGTTCATATCCCACTGACATGGCAAAGGAGCTCCACAGAATGGAGCTGCTACACTGATCATTTCTAGAATATTATTGTTTAAAAACATTATACGGGACAGAGGTGACCGATTTGTCATCAAACCGTTGAAGATACAGGGCCGATGGGCTGCCTCAGGTCCTACACAGCAATGAAATTATGATTGAACTATCGGAGATTTATGTATCTCAGTTCCTCCTTAAGGACTTTTTTCTAAAACAAATCAGACTTTTAAGAAAGTGTCCTCAAAAGGTTTCCATTCCTCCCACCATGCCACTCACTTTGTTGCTTTTCCTTCCAGCAGTTATTTCTGAGGTTTGCAATGTAATCGTCTTCCACGCTCCTCTCAACATTTTTCAGGTTTGTACCAGTGTACTCTTCTACAAAGTTCTCAGCTACATAGTAAGCTACTTTCAAGTGCTCCGTCACTCTCCTGTGTATGTGACCCACAGACCTAGTCCAGGGAGAAAAGCCAAAATAATAAATGTTATTCAAACACAGAATAGAAATTTGTGGACAAGCAACAACTAATAAGCATTATTAATCTACTCAAAGGACATATCCTTCCTGTACACTTGCTGTTTTGGTAAGGAGAGTTTTATCTCTGGTGGAATGGACATAGTGGAACATTCTACCAGGTGGAAATAAAACCTACCTACCCAACCAATCAATTCTTCCCTGAGCTACATGGGTGTGCTTCAGAACATTGGTGTATCTTGGGTGTTGACTGCCAGAGGACTCCATATATGTTTTAGAATTAAGTGCTCATTACAATATTCAGCAGCTAGTGTTTGAAATACTTTTTGCTACTTCCTTCCCAAACACACAGCCCTTCTCCTTCAGGATGTGCCCCAAAGATGCTGTGTGTGTCTGGTTATGAATCTCTGAAGCTGATGGATCTCGAGCTGAAGACTAAGACAAACCAGTATTTCAGAAATATATTTGTACACAGCATGAAGTCAGAATGTAGGTCAAAGTAGAACAAAGACACTGCTGATAGCTAAGCTTGCTCAATAGGGCTGTCTGCTTGATGAATACAGACCCTCAGCTCCTCTCACTGCAGATTACTATTAACCCCAAGAGTGACACATTGCTCTACCTAGCAACATGCCGCAGTATCCACTATTGCTGCAGGAAAGGAGCTACGTTCCCCTCTCCCCGTACCCTCCTCCTCTCTAATTCCTTCCCTCTTTATTCAAGACAGAGCCAGGACAGAGAATACCTCCAAAAGGTATTCTCTTCTGATTCACTGACCAGACACTTCAGACAGTGCAGATGTACAAATACATCCCTCAGTAGGGTCACCCAGATATACTAAGCAAGGGCTTGTCTAAACATGAGGTTGATCCTGATTAACTTAATGCGTTGGCAGACTTATTTCAGAACAAGAGTGCCTTGTTCCTGTTTAGCTTAATGTAATTTGAAAAAAGGGAAACCTAAGCATACCCTTCTTGCCACTCAAAACAGAGCCCTAGGTTCTTCGCAAGCTTGACCCCATGCCTGTGTGTTATATCAAGAAAGGAGATGACATTTTGGGCACATGTGAAGAGAATTAAAGCATATATCATTTGACTGTAAAAACCAGAGGAGGAACATGACCTGAGGAGCCTATAAGCGAGTTAGACAAGCAATACAATTCTGAAATGCCTGGTGGCATGTGTCTGTCTCCTAACGTGGCTGTTCAAGGCCAGGAAGACAGCCGGGCACGAAGAACATCTCTTGAATCCCAGCTTCTTCTTTTCTTCAGTCCCAACATAACCCGGAACTGGGCTACTAAATAACTAAACTATCTATATTTATCACTTAACTAAATTATCATGACAGCAAGAATGGAAAAAAAACTGGATCTGAATGGACTGGAGTAGTTCACATCCATCTGGCACAGCAGATAGAAGGAACTGAGGTAGTAGAGGGCACTGCACCTTCTTATATATCCTCAGAACATTCAGAGACACTGACAGCAGAGGTAGGAAGGGGTGCGTGAGTGCTCTAATGGCTGCTTCTTGGAGAAGGTTCTACTGTTAGGCACCATGAGGTGGCACAATATCCATACGTGGGAATATGCATCGCCACTCAAAGAAGAAAAATGGGATTAAAGGGGTTTATTTTTGCTCATTGATAATGGGTGCTGGCAGATCTCCAAGTCATCCTTCTCAACAACTACAGGTGTTACACAATGTTATGGGGCATGTGAAAGCAAGAGGAACATTAGGAAAGGAAAGGGAACAAAACATACCAAAAAGTGAAAATAAAACACAAAGATCCCAACCACTAACATACCAATTCCTCCCCCCGTTCCCAGCCCACCCCCAAGCTAAATATATATGAGAGTTATGGGTACTAACGGCCTGTGGCTCAAACTGTAAGGTGGACTGGAGACCATCATCTGGCTGAGAGCTGAAACAATGATCAGGATGAGAATAGGCATCAGCTGGACAAACAACCCAAGGCCACCCTAAGGGGGAACAGAAATATACAATGGAATGTCATCAATAAGTTTACATGCATAAGACTATTTAGCATCTCACCCTCCCTTGCAAACCCAATCATACTGTGTCCTTGATCCCACTGATGTGAGCGGGAAATGTGTTTTGCATTTTGCATTAGTCAAAGACGCAACAGGACTGACTGTTCAATGAGGTTTAAAAATAAAAATAAGAGTAAAGAGAACACTTCCAAAGCAGCTTGTGGGGATTTCGCTGCCCAGTGATTCCCTCCAACAGTGATGGCAGTCATGGGGTTAAATCCCTGAGCATTACTTTGAAAGCATACCTGAAAGTACTGAAGCCATGCTACACATCCCAAACAACCATCACGTTTTTTGGGGGGGTGGAAAAAAAAAGCCTTGAATGTGAGTTTGGAAGGACTCATGACATTGTTATATTTAAAGATTTCTAGGACAGTTGCTAATGCGTATTTCATATCCATGTCAGTCTGTAGAGACTAGTACCACAGTACTAGATAGATTCCTTAGAAAGTGCTCCCCCTTTACAATGATATGCAAGATGAGTTTGCCTCCCTTTCTGCCTCATCTCTTAAATTCCCTCCCCACTCTAGTGCAGAACATCTGGCCCCAAAGACCTAAGAAAAAACACCCAATACCATTTTTTAAAATATACTGTAGATCAGCCCAGAGATTAATGATCTATACTGCTGCGAAAGAGATCTGGGTTAGCTCTATGGCCCCTCTGTCTTATTTCCCTAACCAGATGGGGCTGGGAGCATTGTAGAAGCAGTACATTTGGCCTCTGTGACAAAAGGAGGCACAGAAATGCCTCCTGTCACTATAAAAGTGTCTTCCTTGACTAATTAGAGAGAGGAACAGATTGGAAGTCCTGCCCTGTCCAGTGCTCAGTGGAAACATAGTGGCATGGTAATTTGAGATTCAGGAGCAAGAAAATCTCAGAGTTCAGAGAGAGGTTGGGGACAGAAAAGAAAAATTGGTAGATCTTTAAATTTTCTGTCTCTTGGTTTCATCAAGTCTGGAGGTCCCTTCTCTACCACTCTGGTTTTGTATTTTGTGAGAGTCCATGCGTTCAACAGGTCTGGTTCACAAAGTGTCCCTGAGAAGATCTGGGTATAGGAAAGTCATTGAATAAGTCAGATGTTTTGACTAACCATCCCCCTCTAAGAAAATGATCATAACACCCTGTTTATTTTTCTGGCATTCTTAGATTATAACAGCTTCAAATGGGCCTGAAGTTAACACTGTGGTATCATGCAACAAGCAGCACATCCTGGGTAGCAAAATGAGGAGGAATGGGTGTAGATGTTATGAGGACTCACATATAAGGTGGGTAAACCCTCCACTATTCAGTTAATTTCTGCTCATTGTTTCAAGAGAAATCTGACTTTTGGAATTAAGTGTTGAGGTAAAAAAACTTCAGTTCATGCTGCATTTGGCTGATGCTATAATTTTATTTCAATATGACGCTATGCCAAAGAGAAAATGACATTTATTTTCCCACTGTGTAAATGGGATCCAGTCTGATAAGCTGCATCTGCATATGTATGAAAGTCATGGGAATTCAACTGTAAGTAAGTTAAACAGGCAACTCTTCTAGAAAAAAAATAAACTCACGTGAGATTACAATAGAAAAGCACTACACTTATCTAGGAAAACGGAAAACTAGGTGGCCAATTTCATACAATGGCTACAACAGCAACCTGTTTTTTGGGTTGCACACATTAAAGCCTTTTTACTTTCCCCTTGCTCTTGTCTCCACTTACATCACCCTGATGTTCTCGTCTGTCATGCCTCTGATGGTAGGTATATCGCATCCTGCCATTGCTGTATACGTGAACATTACCTGTGGGCAACAGAAATCCATTAAAAAGAATCCAGAACACGGGACTTTCTGACAGCTAGCCTGGCAGATGATGAGATCAGAAGAATTGTGCACATGCCACATCATCCTACCCGATTAAGAATGCAACACATGAGCAGATTAGACATAGACATATCACAATTAAATTCAGAAATTTTCACCTAAGCCACCCTGTGATGTTGGTTGGAGTTTTAGCCAGGTGTCACCAAGTAATGACATTGCAGCATCACTCTAGAAAATAATAATGGAGGCATCTTTAAAAAGTGTACCTGACCAGGTGGGCTGTGAGGGTGAACGCCAACTCAGCAGGGATGATAAAAAGATTTTTTTAAAGGAAGAATTTGGATTCACTGTCTGGTAAGCATTTAAGAAATGAGTGGTGAGCCCTAAAATGAACAATGTTACTGCCAGAAAAGACTTAGTCCCAAGGTGGAAGAGTGCCAAGCAGACCTGCCTGAAGGGTAATTGGTGGATGGTCCATACTATTTGTGTAGCCAAACTGGAGGACTTCAGGGCGGGTGGAGACATTGTGCAAGTCTCTTCAATACTGTGTAGTGTTGAATTTTAGATTATAAAACTAAGAAGTTTTTAATAAAATAATATTTTTTCCTAGTTTCCTGATCAGAAAAAAACCTGCTCTCTTTTATAATTAAGTGTAGAGTTCCTACAGCTGTCATCTTTACTTAGCTGTAGTTTTGAATAATAGAAATAGCCTTACTATTAACCTGTTTATGAATTCACATGGTAATGGGGAAGAAGAAATTATAACCAACCCCAATAGTCATCTTTCTCAGTTGTCTCAGTGGTTTCTTCACTCAAACACCTAGTCCATTACAGCTAGCACAATGAATACTAGTAAAAGCTTTACCAATGCTTCTGCAAGTACTTACTGTTATTGTGCTATTCCTAGGTAATTCCTCTACTTAGGAGAGGGAATAACACAGTAACTTTACGTGCTTGTAAAAGGAAAACAGTAAATATTTTAATGGTGACCACTAAAATATGTACAAAGGAAATTAGGGAGACAGCTTCTTGCCCTGATCAATTTATATAGACAAGATACAGATTTACTTTCAATCTAAACAAATTTAAATAATGTACTACAGAAGTCCCTAAAAGTTCACTACGGTCAGATTTGGCTAGCGGGGGAGGCCATGACTACTCAACACCTCCTTGACACACATATAGAAATAAATATTTTTGATTGATTTTTCTGAGGGGAGAGATAGGAAAGTAGGGTGAAAGAAGTGGAGACTGATACCTGCTACTTTTAGTGTCTTAGTTGTGCAGCACAGCAGATGTTGAAGACGCAATGTGGGTAAGAGATCTCTTCTTGGTGTTTAGTGGCCTAGAAGTTAGTATATTTATTCTGATGAAGAGGGTTTTAATACTTCCTCAAAACAGGCTTGTAAAGCTAACGTAAAAAAGTGACTTAAAAATGTTCAAGACAAATTAAAAACGGTGAATATGACCAGTATGCAAACATCCATTTGAGGGTCCTAAGAATTCCAGCTCTGATGACACTACCTACTGGTTCAGTAAGCTATTTGTCCTGTGGGCTGAGTTCTCAGAACTCTAATTTTAACCATTTTGGAAACTGAGATGTTTACATCAGTAACGGACAGTCACTTGTGAAGGAGAACTCTCATGTACTTCAGCTGTTGAGAGGAACACAGCTTTCAGTATCACCACAGACTGCCAAATAAACCATTACTGCATTATTGTTCTGTCACAAGAGTGGCAGCAAAGATAGCTGAATGGAATCACCCTTGCCCACAGAGAAGATTAAAACTTGACAGGCTTACTAGAAGGAAATCCACCACCAAAGAACATGTTGAAGAGATCCTCGGGTGAGATGTCTGCTTCGAATCCACGGTGGAAGTCTGTATGACTGTGTCCATGTCTTGAAGGGTTGACTTTCTCATCTCCAAACTGGTCATATTGCTTCCGCTTCTCTGGGTTGCTCAATACTGCATATGCATTACCAATGGCTGAAATATTGGCAAAAAGGAAGCACAGTTAGCCTATTTCTCCTGGTAATACATTCCCCTCTTCTGAACAAGTTTTGAACCTGCAAACTGACAGGTCCCATTACATAGATTCAATTGTCAATTACCCACCCTCTTTAAAAGGTTATTTAACATCCCTGATCATTAGAGGAATGCATCTCTTGGCTGGATGCAAATAGAAGAAGAGAACAAGGTCATTTGATGAAATGATTGAGACCTTGATTAACTCCAACCAGGATCAATACACACAGTGCTCCTTCGCTCAAATCCTGGGGTGACAGAGATATCCTTCCAGATGAATCAGAAACTTGAAATTCCTGGAAGGATACTGTCAAGGATACTGGCTCTACATTTTGCTGAGTTTAAAAGTTGTTTTTTTTACTTGAGACACAAGGTGGGTGAGGTAGTAATTTTTACTGGACCAACTACTGCTGGTGAAAGAGACAAGCTTTTGAGCGACACAGAGCTCCTCTTCAGGTCTCCCCTATCTACCTAGAAGTTTCTGTTCCTGACTCTGCTGAATACATTTTTTTTTTTTAATGTGTAAGGATTAATTTTCAAATTAACTTCTTGAGCCATGCGAAAATATATACTGAAGCATGGCTTTACTTGGAAAATGTACTCTAAAAATGACATTATGCGATTCCAAGTTTATTGTCCAAAAACATAACTTCACAAAAGTTACAACATGGCTCAAATCACTGAAAGGCCCAAAGCACATAAATAAAACATCTTAAAGAAATCCTGGGTAAAGGTTTTGTCCATGCAGGTTACAGGTCTCAGAAATTTCCACATGCCAGAGGGAAGGGGGACAATTAAGAGGAACAGCTTACATAGCATTGTGACAATGGAAAAGTACTGAAACTAAACCCTAGTCTCCTTTCTTCATGACTCCCTTCTTCCACTCTTGCCTCACTGTAACCAACCTGCAAGAATGCTTACTTGCAGCTTTACTGCTGCTAAATTTGCATTTGCTTCTACATTTGCATTTTCTTTTCTTTACACACCTCCATTTGTCAACTCCCTTATCTACCTACCCATCTACCTGAGAGTTTCTGTCCCTGACTCTGCAAGAGTCCATTTTCTCTCATAATCCTCAACTACATAGTGTGATATGATAACTTATGAGTGAGGATATATACAAGTTAATTGTACTGGAGTTGATGCAAGGCTTTCTCCTTCAGACAGATTCATCTAACTCCTCCTTTCCTGTTGATGCACATGTAGCCAGAGCAGCAAGAGGGCTTATCTATATGGGAAAGTTATGCCAGTATAAGTTAAGGTGCAAGGAACATTGGCAGGAAATTCAAATGGAAGAATCTGAGGTCTAGGTTTTCTGTATGCACTTTTATTGACATTAAAACTCAAGAGATATTAGCAGTCGCGTTCCCAATAAGTATTTGGCACTGTATTGCTGCTAGCTCACTCCAAACCGGAAGTTTAGCTAAAGTGGTCAGGTTTAAATTTTTTTCCCCAAAGTCTGCCAGATCTAGTGATAGGAACTCCAAGGGACAGTGTGGGCTGTTGCAACACTGATTAAGACAAGGTCTCAAGGCAAAACATAGCACTTTATCAGATGTCACTGGGAAGATGAATGTTAAGGCATCAGCTAATACATCAATGTAAGAAAAAAAAACTAAAATTTGCACTACATATTTTCCCTTCATCCTCTGGAACCAAACAGCTGGGCTTTAATGGGCATTATGAGAAAAGTGTTAACATCAGAGGCATAATGGAATGGAGAATCAATGAGACATGGCTTTGAGGAGAGATAACCTGACAGTTGATAGCCCAGTAATGGAGGATAAAGTGCACCTTGCTTAATGCAGTTTTGACATGTAACTTGCGTCTAAGCCTTCAGTAAATATGATTATTTAAGATTACTGGTGAAGAAACCTGCCTTTTGCCACTGTTCAAGGATTGAAGAGTAAACTGTTGAAGAAAGGTTTATGATAGCCACTATGTGGATGTCTGCACACATATGCAGATTTGACCTGAACCCAATGCATAAAAGGTCTCTCCCAGGTGGCTAGAGGCTCAGCCCACTATTTGCTAATGGCAATACACTTATCAGTCATAGACTTAAGAATTAATAGGCCTGAACAACCCCTGCCTCTGACTTTTGCTCCTCAATTTATGCCTATCTATATTTTTAAAAAAACATACCCTAATATCAAATAACATAGCAGTATACACTTGAAAATAGACTTTCCAACTCCCACCGGAACCTCATGTATTTCACTCACAAGCTAGCTAGTTGAAACTGGACATGATACTTTTTTCTCACCATCGCCCCTAGAAACTCATCCTAAACTCAGAATCAAGCTTGATGGCTTTCTTCTTAGCCAACACCACCAGTATTAAACACTCTGCAGGTCAAATTATGCCTTCAGTGACATCTATACAATCCCACTGGCTTCACTCTGATTTGAACAGGTGCCACCAAGAACATAATTTGGCTTGCACAGTCTTTATTATCGGTGGTCATGAGTGAGAAGGACACCGAGGATGGAACTGGACTCTCAGGTCCCAATTCAAGGCAATGTTCTAGCACCTCTATGCAATTTTTGTGCTGTTAAAAGGACAGGAAAACAGCTGGAGGCCAACTCCAACCTCCCTGAAAATATTACCCTGGCAGGTGCAAGTTCCCTGGGTGGTACAGGGGAAGAAAGGAGGGTCAGAGTGCAGATGGCAATTCTGGGCTGCTGGACAGTCCTTTAGCAACTGCTGCAGCCCAGGCACGAATTAGTAGCCTTTGGGGTTACTCTAGTTTACACTAGAGGCCAAAATGGCCCCCAGCAGCCTCAGAATCCTAAACGACCTTGGCCACACCCAGCTGTGCCTCTGGAATAGGAAAACTCAGGCCCTAAAAGACTGAGGGCTAGTCTACACTATAAGCGCTACATCAGTGCAGCTGTGCCACTGTAGCGTGTCTGGTGAAGACGCTTGATGCAGACAGGACAGAGCTCTCCCATTGGCATAACAAAACCACATCCAGAACCAGCAGTAACTATGTTGGTAGGAGAAGCTCTCCTGCTGACATAGCACCGTCCACACTAGCCCTTAGGTCGGTGTAACGTACACTACTCGGGGGGTAGCTTATTCACATCCCTGAGCAACATAAGTTAGGCTGACATAAAAGTGTTAGTGTGTACAAGCCCCAAGATAAGTTAGGAAGGTTGTCAGTTGGAAAAATCTTATTTTATTGGTAAACTATGTCATTTTGACATGGCATCAGTGAAACACCATGAACACAGAACCCCAGGAAACTTTCACTAGAGATGTTTTTCAGAGTAGACCTACACTTAAATTTAAGGCTTAATATTAGAGGGAATATTTTCTAGTAAATAAACTTTTAAGCCAGTGAGCCCACCTTTTCAAGCGTTTGTTTTATCAGGCTTGTCTAATTTGATATTATCAAGTACTTAATGTATACAAAAATATTTTTCTTAGCACACTGCTTTTTTCTACAGACCTTAACATAATGAGCTAAACTCATTCCTCATGTAACGCTACTGATTTTCCCAAAGTGACACCAAGTATTTACCTGGGCCACAATCAATTGTTGAGTATTGATGCTCACTTTGCAAAGTCCCCTGAAACAAAATTGACAACGCAAGCTTTCTAGTTCTTTCTGCTCAGATAAAATTAAGATGCAACATTAACACAAAAGAAAATGTTAAGAATCATGGAAATTAGAGGTGAAAGTTCAGTAATTTAGCCCTTATCCCTAAAAATCAGGACTACACCCTATGTTCTCTAGCGCTACATTTAAGTCTAGTTTTAAATATTCCAAGTGACAGGGCTTCTCTTGGTAAACTATTCCACAACCTAATAGATCTCATTACCAAGAAAATTTCCCTTTTCAGTGCCTACAATAGTTGACATAGGGTCTGAGAATCAGGATCTTTACATTTAGTTATGTTTTGTTTTAAGTTATTGGGGATTAAAAAAAAAAATCTTGGCTGGCATTAGTTACATAATTGGTTCAGGTGCACAACTGAGTTTGTTATTTGGGGTTTATATATAGTAATTCCATTTATGATATTTTTGTTTAACTGCAATATTGATGTGTCTGCTGAGAAATCTGAAGTCTTATTAAAGGACTGCTTGGAAAGCTCATTGGGTGGGAGAATTTAAACTGGTTTCTCTGATGCCAGCTCAGAAGAGGGTAGTTTTCCGCCAGACACTTTTTCCAACCCCCGCCCCCACCCACTTGTGATAAATTCAGTTAAACGGTGTGCCTTTTAGAGTTATACTAAGGCACTTTCTGATACCTGCAGTTATAAGAGACAAGGGTTACTGTCCCAACTGCTGACTCCTATGCTACACACCCTAATGAGTCTGTAACAGGTTGCTGGTCCTTAGGTACAAGTGCACATCCCTGCCCTCCGTTCCAAGCCCTGTCCCTTTAAGACCGGGAACGTTGAGGGGAGTTATTGTCTCCAGGAAGAATTCATGATGGAGAAGGGTCAGCTGACTAAGCATCATGTAACTGCTTGCTGAAAACTGTATAGGATTTCTTCTAGCTCAGTCTGCTGAACATGAGGATTGAGGGAAGTTCCTTCCAGGAGGCCTAAGAGATAGCCAGGAAGGGCTACTTAGGGGGAAAGATGTGTCCTCTTGCTTTGCAGTTAGTTGGTGGAAAGTGGATCAGGCCTTTTCTCCCCAGTGTTTGTATTATTTTGAGCCTTGTTAATAAAATGAGCCCAGAGGAAAAGGACATGAACTCAGTTGTTTTGGGAGTTTTATTCTACTTCCCTGGCTGGCGAATTTGTTCACTGGCTTACAGGGTCCCCTCTTTATTTTTGTTTAATACACACACAGAAATTAACAACCCATCAGCCTTCATTTATCATTTTAGTATCTTTTAGATGAGGTTGTACTTAGACTGTCACCCCAATACACGACCGTCAGCTTGTGAGGGAGTTGAGTTCAAGAAACAGGAAACACGTTTTTACCTTTGAATGCTTCTGTAGCACCTGGCGCCTGGTTCTTATCTGGGTGAAATTTCAGTGCTAGTTTCCGGTAAGCCTTTTTCAGGTCCTCGTCAGAGGCCTCTCTGTTCACTCCTAGAATTTCATAGTAATCTTTACATTGCTTTACCCTAGAAGTTAAGAGAAATTAGGTGACGGGGCAGTTAGTTTGAGGTAAGGAGGCTTCTTACCTTTGTATGCATCAACTTTTCAGCATCCCTACATCCCAGTTCTGGTTAATATTGTCCTCTGAACTTTGGTTTACTCAATTTTGATTCCTCGGTATGAACCAGTTTATGTCACATATCTGTTTGCCCTGTGCTTTTATTACCAGGTATCTACAGTCCTTAAAGAACAAATGACTCAACCCAGTAAAATGACTGTGCCCTCAAGTGGCCCAGTGTCACCTTGCATTGGTGTGGAGGCAATTTAAGAAAAGGTTTGACAGAATTAATAAGCATCACACCATGCTTTGAAACTCAATAAATTCAGGTTCTAAGGGCTGGTTAAGGGAAGCTGAGTCCATGGTTTGAGAGCTCCCCCCAACAACAGGGACAGATAGCAAGAGTGATCCCTCAAACGCTGGGACAGGATCTGGGGAAAACAGTTCTCTCGGATTCAATTAATTCACAGACCAAACTGACTTTTGAAATAGTCTGATGAAGATTTCCACAGGAAGGAAAAAAGCCTGTTCAGGGCATGGAGCCCTGTGTTACAGTGGTCTGGTTCATACTACTGTTGTTCAAGGTACATTAGCAGTTCCACAAGAACTCTCTTTCCCCCCAACCTATACAGCAAAAATTCAGAGCTAAAATATGATATAGGTCACAGAATGGACTCTTCTTAAAAAATGGATTAAGTAGTAAAAATATCCAGAAGCTAATCAGCTCAAGATGATGAGTGTTCTTGTGCAATTCAAACATACCATAGCTTTAAAAAGAGTTTAGCAACTGATTATGCCTAGTTAGGTCTATCTGCTCTTAGTATTTACAGGGTGCGGGATAAATGCCAGCTGAAAACCTGTTTTCAAACAGTATACTGCACATACCAGGTAAACTTGTTCCAGGCAATTTTAGCAGGAGTTTTACTAAGCATATCACAACATGAAAGTGTGATAGAATGGGAAACCACCACACAATACCACTACCAGGCTCTCATCAAGAGAGACTCAGGACTGGAATATCAGCAGGCACTACAAGTCAGGCCTGATGTGCACTGGCAGAATTTACTTAATATTAATTATCTGTATTAAGGTGCCTAGAAATTTGAGCCTCCCTGTACTAGGCATACATATTGGCGGGGGGGGGGTGGTGGTGGAGGGGGGAACCTTATGCACAGGACATCCAATTCCAGCCAGGGCTATTAAATCCCTCTAACACTTTTATATTATAATCCCATTAACAACTCTCCAATTACCCAAAATTCTCAGATAATTCAAAGTCAATCATTACAGCAGCACACATCACACACAGTTTCTCCAGGTATTCAAAAATCTGTGTTTCTGCATGTTTTAAATGTCTTTGAAACACTCTGGAGAACAGACTGATACCATGCAATAAAACCAAACACCATTGGGGTAGATCATTAATGTCACTGGACAACAAACTATTCTGTCCTATGAAAAATGAAGCAGTGACTGCCTACCTCTTAACTGCATCCACCTGATCTTGGGTGTAACCTTTGTTAGTTTCCCCACCAGCCTCCCCATTGGCTGATGGGAAGTCTCCACTCATTTTCCTAAAGTGGGCATTTGTGGACTCTCTGGATTTGGACTGGCCATTGGCTGATTGTTCATTCTTGGTGAGGGATTCGATCAGCACTAAAATTAAAAACAATTGAAAAAGAGAAAAGTTTAGAGATCATCCAAATCACAGAAGCTGCATTGCCCCTTTACCCACTGAGAAAGAGGGAGCCCACTTCATCTCTGTCACAACCATAAGGATCCTCCATTTGTTCTTCCCCCTTCATCAGAGACGCCATCTTTTCAGCCCAGGAATGCCAGTGTTCCCACTGCTTCTCAACCAAAAATAGGGGGGCACTGCTTACTGATTCCAGATACTACTACTTCAGCAGGGGCAAAGCACACATCCTCCACAGCAATCCCAGGCCCTACCAGCCTGGGAGACAAGAGTCTGGAAGTCAAACCAGGGTCCCCAAATTACTAGACATTTGTTTTCTCATTTTCACTTTTTCCTGCCTTTCCTTTAGGAACAATTATTTCCCAGTTTGTATTCCATCTTCAGGGAATTAGAGAATGGTACCCTTGGAACAAGTTCACCTCCATCCATTTAATTCAACTAACCTCCTGACTTTCAGTCCCACAATGCTCGATAAGTTACAATACAACATTGCTACCTACGAGGTTTAGAAAACAATCCCATGGGATAGTCACAAATTTGGTAAAAGGGGGAAACAAATAAAACTTCCTTCTAATTTTCCTCTGTTCTAGAGACACTGTAATGATTCAAATACAGTATGTGCTGAATAACTTCCTTTAAGCATGGACAGCCACAGTACACAGCAACAGTGGTGGGGTTGTGACTATAAAGTCTAACAACATCAGATCCAGAGCACTTTGGTTTAGGGAACTGTGTCTCATTTATTTGCAGGAAAGCTATGAGATATAGAGAGGTTTTTCAAATTCACATTTTAAGTGGGATGTGCAAGTATTTTCTGTATATTGCTCTAAGGCTCTTCTGTTTTAAAACCTCTCCTTCCATCCTCAGGACTCCATGCTATGCCTACCACCTTTCAGACTGGGGCATGGCAGACATAATAATTTAGACCACAGCCCAACAATGCAGCTCCGTAATTGGCCAGAGCACGAAGCTGAAGATCATTGTGCTCTGCAGACATAAAACCACCACCCAATTCACTTTTTCATCTAATTTTGCAACGTTTTGCAAAGTATCTTTTTACTAAATTTCAGACAACTCTTCAAATCTGTAGTTTCCGTATTTCATAAGGTTTGTCCCTACTGTATAAAAAGTATACACACTTAATAAAACTAGAAATGGAAAATAGTATTTACAGGCATATCAGTAACTTGAAGAGGTTGCAATCCTTTATCCAGAATCTATACCAGAGAAGGACATTCCATCTATTGCAGTGCCCAAGAGTCTACTTGAATGCACATTTAAGACCTTCTACCACAGGGATATTGCTTTCTTTATGTAACAGCAAACAACATATGCAAGCCAGCAGCTGAACCAAGATATCATATCTGCTACACAGAGTTTATGTTTGGGCAAGAAGAAACAGATCAATAATCCTACAACCAATAAAGAGAATCATTACAGAATGAAGGATAAAAAAGCAAAGAACACTGAAGGCTAAGTACCTTGCTGAATTGCCTGTTGAGATTCTGAACCTTAAAATATTTCTTCTTTCAGAAAACGTTGTTAAATAGATCTGGCTGTTACAAAACTCCCCATAGATTGTAGTTTACAGGCTGCCTCTCTTGACCTTATAGGTGACACCAGATAGGCTGCCTCATTCTTTTTCACATTTCCCACACCAGTTAAATGCAGAAAATCTCAATTAGATTAGACAGTCCCCCTCTCTACAAAAGCAGGAGTGTTTCTTATATTACATTTTCAGATATGTTGTTCAGTTTAGTTTTTAAAGTCCCAAGCAAGAGGGCTACCACAATTTATTTTGTGAAAACTATTCCAGTCTAATACACCTCATTGAATATCTGGAGAAATTTCTTCACAGTCTAAATTCTCTCTCAACTTCATCTCACTACTCTTATACCTAGAATTCTACTTGATATTAAATTTATCTTCCTCCTTAATATTTACACTACTCAAATATTTGTAGATCTATGGTCCTCTGCTACTCCTTAGCTAAACTATACCTATTTAGCTCTTCAAATATTGTCTCAAAAGGCAATCCCTCCATCCCCCTTATTTTTTGTTGTTGTTCTCTGAATTCCCTTTAATTTGTCAATATATTTCCAGTAATGTGGTTCCAAAGCTGAATGTTAAATTCCAGGCTCAGCTGCAGCAGAGTCACATGCTGGGACTACTACTTCTCTGCTTCATAACATGGCTCCTTTCTATATGCATCCCAAAAATCACAATGGCCTTTTATGCAGCCATAGCACATCGCAAACTCGTGTCAAACTTGCTGTCCATTATTACCCCTGTAGTTCGGTCAGCATTACTTCCCAGCTTTCTCCCTCCCCATTAGCATGTGTGTTTAGATTACTTTTCCTCAGACGTATTAGCTTGCATTTTTTCAAATTAAGTTGTTTTAGCAAAGGCAACTAACAGTTGTAAAACTACCATAAGCCACTGACACTTTGTCTATGCCAGGGCTTCCATCATGGGTGGTGTTTTTTTGTAAAATTCCCTATTGTAGATATTAATTTATATAGTGATAGCACATAGAGAACCAAGTCAGAATCTGAGCTATATAAGAGCCAGGGACTGTTATTATTGTGCTAGGCAGTGTACACACATGGTCTACACAAATGACTTTTTGATCTTTGCTAGCACTGATTTCACTAACAGAGTTGTAAGTGAGATTTTTAGGAATCAGATTAACCATACAAAGTCTAAATTAACATCATGTAATTACAGAGACTTCAAGATTTCTCCCCAACAGCATATTACTAGGCATGTCACAGAATGTAAAGAAATAGAGCTTACACTCAGATATGGGCTGTAGGAAGGTGAGAGACATAATAATAGAATGGTTGGGGTTATGGTAGGAACTTTTAAGCGGCACATTAAAAAAAAAAAATAATGGACCCCTCTTTCCTCGCATCCTAGGATTCTAATCTGCCCATTTCCACTGACCCATCCATTATTCCACATTAAATAAGTCTTCTGTCTATTCTGCCCTACCCAAGCCAGATATTTAGGCCTGAGTATAACTGCTCCAGGTGCAGGTAAGGATGCCCACACATGATGAGCAAACTGGTATTTATTCACCCTTCAGCATCTGTTTTCCTGATCAGCACCATAGCAAAACTCTTCAAGAAAGCCACGGCATCTCTGAGGGTGATCCATTCGTGCTGGAACAGAGCTTCTCAGTTTCTAGGATGAGTTTTTCCACAAAAAGATTACACTTTTTCCTGGGTAATTAGATAAGAAAGGTTAAACACCAACCTTAAGGCAAAAATCACATCTGAAACAGAACAAGCCTATTCATCATGTCTGCAGTTGTGGGAGGAAGCCAGACAGGACCAGAGAGAGGCATACAAACAGCCTAGAGCTCCACACTGGGAAAGAGTTCGCAAAACAAATGATCCCCCCAAGATTTTCCCCTCCCCCCCCCAAAAAAAGTTGAGAAATCAAAGCCAATTTTGGTTCTGTCTAAAAAATTTAGAGCAGGAATTCACACAAGTGACAATAAATATATACCAATAAAATAATTTCTTTCCTCTTTTCTTTTCCTTTTTTATTTTTTAACTATTCACTTCCTGGTCACTTTTGATAAATGTCAAAGGCATGTGTTTACTCTTTATTTCTAAAGCTTACACAGACACACATCTGGGATGCTGCATAGTTCAAAATAGTTAAACAAACCCAGTTCATAGAATCATAGAATATCAGGATTGAAAGGGACCTCAGGCGGTCATCTAGTCCAACCCCCTGCTCAGAAAAAAAAACACAAAAAAGCAGGACCAATCCCCAAATAAATCAGTTCAATGGGCCAGATAGTCACTTGCAAAATAAAGCAGGTGAGAAGGAAGAGCTGTTTAAAAACAAAACAAATTAAACCCAACAATGTAGAAATGAGATGAATAGACTTTGCAGAGAATCCTAAAGATAGCTACAGAGGGATGGACTCTGGTGCATATGCTCAATGAGGGAATTCTGTAGCTTGGGTCTGTAAACCAAGAAAGCTCTACTTGCAACACAGCTAATGGAATCTCAGGATAATAATAAAGGCAATTATGTCTATTGCAACTTCCCCAGAGAGACATTAGGGGACAGACCATCACTTGTATATAGCACCCTCAGGCCTAGATCACAGAGGACTTTATGGAATCTCAGCAGTGCAGACTAGGAAGGGCCAGTAGCGTGAGACTGTTTTCTCCCACCTACCCAGGCTTCGTCACCTTATTCCTGTAGTGATATCATAATGCAGAATGCATCATCAGTCATCTCATGACCACAATATCATAAACACAGGGAGATGACCTCACAGCCAAAAGAGATGCCAGGAGAAAGAAAGCAATGGGAGTTTGGAAAGTTAGTTGCAAAATACAGAGCTGAGTAATGTCATTTATCCCACCTTCTCCCTGCATGCAAATCCCTCTCCGTGACTCTCAAAGCCCACCCTGGCCACTGAAATAACAGGCATGTTACTAATAACTTGCTCCCAGAGAATGATAAAGTGCACTTCCATAGCACCTTCCAAGCACTCTATAAACAGTAAGTCCCGTGTAACCTCTGTGAAGTGTATTATCCTGGTTTTACAGATAGGGAAGCTGGAGCAGAGAAAAAAATATCTTGTTCAGTGCCATTCACTGTGAGTCACTGAAAGGGCCAGAAATAGAACCCAGTAATTCTCATTCCTGACTCTAACCATTACATAACACTCTCTCTTAAGTAGTCTATGCCATCTTGCAGGCAGGTCTATACTACAGACATTACAGAGCCATAGTGTAGATGCTTCCTACATCAACAGATAGGATTTTTCCCATTGATGTAGGTAATCTACCTCCCCGAGCAGCGGTAGGTAGGTCAGCTGAAGACATGGTGTAGACATGACTAGACCAGGGATCAGTTTGGTTTAACCACAGCACTCTGGGGTGTGAATTTTTCACACATCTGAGTGACAAGGCTGGTTTGATATACATTTTAAGAGTAGACTATGGTTCAGTCTCCCTCCTCAATTAAAGAGCATCCTCAGCCTTAGGATAGGGTGTAAAGCAGGTGTGAAATGTGGCCACTCTGGGCTGTCAAAGGCACAAGGACTCCTCTCGGGGAAAAATACGTAGGCTCTGTCTGCTGCTGGGTTTCAGTACTTCTAGGTACATGTCTACCCAGCTCAGGTAGACATACACTCACTAGCTCTGCTTGAGCTAGCACACTCCCAAGTGGCTATGGTAGCATGAGCGAGCTGCCCAAGTACAACCCCATCCGAGGTCCTTGACATGTATTCAGGCAGCCGTGGCTGCACTGCTATTTTTAGTGCACTGGCTCAAGAGCATATGTCTACCTGAGCTGTGAATCACACCCCGCAGCGCTGGTGGAAAACAAGTATGGAACCAGAGGGGGCAGGTAGAATTTTTGTTTTAGTATGTGTTAAACCTAAGAATTTATTCCAAGCATCTACCCTTATTGGGTGAAAGGTCTGGTAATGCAGGAATTGGATTCCAGTTTACCCATGTATGCTGATTATGATGGAGGCAGCTGTATTGCAAGTTTTCCTCCTCCACCCTACCAAAGATTTCAACATGACCTTGTTCCGTCATACTCCAGATGTAATCATGCCTCTAATTTGGGTGAGGAGCAGGGGATACTTTATCAAACCTTTCATTTAACACTCTGCTTCTGTCCTAGTCATCTACTTTCGGGGGGGGGGGGGAGAAGGGGGCTGAAAATGAGCTCCCTGAAGACCACAAAACCTCTAAATTGTGTGTGTTTGGGGGGGGGGGAAGAGGGGGACCGAATAGATATTGCAATGAAACAGTGGCAGGACAGATGGATTTTTAAAAGATTGGGGTATTTTGTTCTGAGTTGCTTAAAAAAAAATAAAATAAAACCAGACAAAACTTACAACCTGGTTACGCTACCCTCCATCAAAAAAAAAAAAAAGCACTGTTTACAAGTTTATTATGTTTCATTGGCATGACAAGCTATGCAAGCATTACTTAGGTCTTGTCTACATGGGGAAGTCACAGCAAAGTTCATAAGAAATAGCTAGGGTGTGAATTCAAAGCACAATAGCTGTTCAGTACTAGCTCCCTGTGTGGACACTCTTATTCTGCACTAGGAATGTCTTTTTGTGGATTTGGTTAATCCAATTCCAAAGTATGTACACAAGGAGCTAGTCTGGAATAGCTGTTCAGCAACAGTTTTTCTGCACTAGTTATTCCGGGCTTTTTCCCTATGTAAAAAGCTGTAAAAGTAGAAGGGACAAGATCCCCCGGGTAACTGTCAGTGATAGATAGCATCTACTTGGGACAGAACTTCACAGTGTCTGGTGTTTTTATTTCCAGTAATTATTTAACACTACTGCCTATTCCTGAAACAGTGGAGAACAGTCCATTCCTGAGTGAAGCTTCTATGAAACATGATGCCATTTCTGCTCTCTCTTTCCTTTCTTTCACAGTTTTTCCTCTCAGCACTTTTCAGGAAGAGTTTCATTATTCATTATTTAAATCCTCAAGTGAGAGCTTGATGGGAAGCAATTCTAGGCCCTATATATTGCCAAATAACACGCCACCAGTGCTACACCCTCAAAACCTACAACTCCATGTCCACATATAATCTGCCTAACATCACAATATTTAAGACACAATAATTTTCCAAGCACAATTTCACTCAGAAGCTTATCAAGTGTCTGTCTTCATACTTCACCAAACTGAATTAATTAGACTTTTTCAGCAGAAATACTGCCTTTTCACTGTTAAGAAAGGGACGAAGCTTAAGCACGTAACATTTTTTACAATAAAGGCTATTATATTGAGCAAAGATGCTCATCCTAAAGAAGTCTGAATCATCTCAACAGGAGTTGATCTTTACACATAAGAAGGACTCTTCCCTATTTCTCTATTATACCTCATTATGTGAAACATCACCTCGTTCTAGACTCAAACTTCTGCACACCCAAATCTGGTGTTATTTCACTGTCCAGCTTTAAAAGCAGTTTACATATTTTGTAGGTCCATAGTAAACCCACATTTTCAGAACACTTTACATAGAGGAAAGGACCCTAATAGAATGCCTTGTTTCCTCCATCACTTCTGATTGAGAAGTTCAGTTTTGGTCTGTCACACCTTTGGCAGTTAGAGGACAACATCACCCCAAAAGTGTGCAGCAAAATAATACGTACAGGATTGGGAAACACGTACTGACATAGGATGAGCTGCCCCATGCCTGGGTGCAAAGGTCTAGGGCAACACAGACAGGACTAGGACAGCAGCTTTCCCCCGACCCCATTAGCCAGGCTGGCCTTTTCCCCTGGCAGGCTGGGGTGGGAGGAGCTGCGAGGGTTTAGGGGCACTCCAGAGGGAGAGGCAGGGATGGGGAGCGGTCTGTTGATGGGTGAGATGGGTCTGCAGGATGGTTGGGGGGGAGGGGGAGAGCTAGGGGGATGGAGGAAGTTGAGCAGGTGGGGGCTCCCTAGGGGCAGGGGAGCGACGGGGTCTCTGGGGGCGGTCAGGCAGACGGGGGGGGGGGGTTCTGCCGGGGGGCTGTGTTTCGCTGGGAGGGGGGCTATTGCCCCCCCAGCCTGACAACGCGGTGCCCTCTGGGAGCTGTAGTCCCTCAAGCCCCAGTAGTGTGGGGTTCCGCCTCCTGTCCCAACGCAGAGGGGCTCGCTTCCGCCCCAGCTTCCCCATGACTCCCCGCGGTCACAACCTAGCTTTACCCACGGGGGGACTCACACTGCAACCCCCGCCGCCCTTCCTGCCGGGCCAGCGAGGACTCCATGTCCCATGAGTCCCAGCGCGGCGGGGCACAGAGCGCAGGCGCAGTGCAGGTGAGAGGTCAGTAGCGCCGCCGTTCGCGCCGCAGGCCCCGGCTCCCCCGCGCCCCGGACCCCGCTCACCGCGGACTCGCTGGGAGGGGTAGAGGCGCTGGGCCTTCTCCAGGAAGCGGAGCGCCTTGTCGGGCTGGCTGGCCTTGATGGCGGCCACGGCGATGGCAATACAGCGCTCCGCCTCGTCCCTGTTGGACTCCATGGCGGCGGCAGTGGCCGAGACGGGAGGAGGGGCCGGCGCGCGGCGATGGCGTCACCCACCGAGTGCGTGCAGCAGCCCCCTGCCGGAAGTTCTAAGAGCGACCGGAGAACTACGTCCTCAGAGCTACCGTGTGGGAAGGAGTAGCGGCTGAGTTACCGTATTGGCCAGTATATCAGCGCAGAATCTTAAGCTAGGTGACCCCATAGGCGCTACTGAAGAGACGCGTTGTCTCCAATGACAGGTTTCAGAGTAGCAGCTTTGTTAGTCTGTATTCGCAAAAAGAAAAGGAGTACGAGTGGCACCTTAGAGACTAACCAGTTTATTGAGCTGTAGCTCACGAAAGCTCATGCTCAAATAAATTGGTTAGTCTCTAAGGTGCCACAAGTCCTCCTTTTCTTTTTGTTGTTTCCAATGTCTAGCGAAGGGCTGCGAGTCAGGAGGCTGCAGGGCCTGAGCCGCCCTATGCGTTGCAATGGGACCCTGCCCATATCCTTGCCCTGCCTTATGCCTTGGGTCCTCCTGGCCGCAGAGGAACAGAAAAGTAATGAACATTCTTGGCAAAACTTATTTCTGGTTTTGTCAAAATTTAATTCTCATCACCACACTGGGGCAGCGCTAACCCTGCTGCTGCCCTCACTGTTCAGGGGCCATGTCCTGAGTGCTATTTTGTTATTAATGCTGGGGGCGAGAGACACTCACCCCCCCCCCCATACATTACTGTCATGAAGACCCTGCTGTCGCTGACATGCTGTACTTTGCATTGCTGTGTAATATCAACATCTGATGAAGTGGGTTCTAGCCCATGAAAGCTTATGCCCAAATAAATTTGTTAGTCTCTAAGGTGCCACAAAGACTCCTTGTTGTTTTTGCTGATACAGACGAACATGGCTACCACTCTGAAACCTGTGTAACATCAGTCACCATCCTCCATCTATAGAGCTCTGCAGGGACTGGGCTAAGACCCGCACTGATAGAGCAAGGCTCAGAACCCAACCATCCTGACTCCCAGGGCCAGGGCTTATGGCTGAACAGCTCCCACCATTGCACTTCTAACAATGCCTGTTAATCAGACTAAATGCAATCATATTTTTCTAAAAATAAGTGTTTTGCTTTTCTTCTTATCCTTCACTGAGATAAGAACACTGTAGAAAAGCTTCTGTAGAAGCCCATCAACTGTTTTCTGCTGTCCCTTAAAATGTTGTGTAGCAGGCTGTAAACACCGTTCTAGTGATTCTCTATTCATAGTCCTGACTTCCCTCTCAACTGCCCATCCTTTTATATAAGCCCAGATTTACTTTCCTGTTATCAGACACTAATAAAATTACCTGTTCTAATAGCTAATCTACTAAGACTGTCTGCTGTGCCAGATCCTTTCCCCTTATTTGAAATTTAGGTCCCTCAAACATACGCTTAATTTAAATCAATGGGACTATTCACATGAATAAAATTAAGCATGGGTACTAGCACTTGCAGGAACAGGGCCTTATAAGAAATTCTCTTTTTTGTTTTGCTGTATGCCATTACCCTACATTCCTACAAATTTAGGACTTCAAGTTAACCTAACATTTAGCATCATATTATTCCCACTAAAGTGTATTGATGCATGAAGATAAGAAAAATATTTGTGCCAGCTGCAGGTGAGACATGTCAGCGTTGGCAGCCAGGTCACATTAGGAGAAAGAAAACTCTGATTTCAAGCCAAAGGTGTCAGATATGTTCATATGTCCATGCCAAGTGTTCCCGAGAGGGCGAGGGCATTCCCTGCAGGTGATGTACAATAGCCTTGCCTGACTGTTGTACTTGGGCCAGGGCTGCTACAGTTAAAGGGGTGAATAAGTTGAGAAGTGTGTGTTGGAATGTAAGAACACTAACTGGAAGAAGTCTGAAGCTAGGCAAGGACTTAAAGAGAAGAGTAAATGTGGCATGGGGTATAAGAGACCAAATGGAAAGGTTGCACAGCCACGATACTGGTGGAAGGTTACAAAATCTACAACTTATGGAATTCAACTTCTCCAGATGGTGTTAGAGTTATTCTGGATGAAACCATGCCAAGCCATGTGGTAGAAGTTAGCAGAAGGTTGGACCAACTGATGGGGGTTAAATTGCGTTGGCAAGAGGTAACTATCTACATAGAAAATAGGTATGCATTACAGTTCGGAGAGGATCAAAAGGTAAGAGTTTTTTTAATTATTTGTTTTGCTTTATTGGAAACATACCCTTCAACAAGGAGACAATTATTGGAGCAGATTGAAATGCACAAGTTTAACTGTGAAGACTGGATCTGAAACAGTCCATGGAGGGTATGGTATTGGAACCAGAAACTCCAAGGGGGAAATGGTCCTACAGGCTTGTCTAGTACTGGACTTTGTGATTGCAAACTCACACGTTCAGATGAAGGGAAGCCTTCTCAAGTCCCAAATTGATTTATTTTTTAATAAGAGGAAGAGAGAGCTCATGAATAATCAGCTGTAAGGTAATACCTGGCAAGTGCCTTATAAGACAGCACAGACTTCTCCTTGTGAACTTCAGAATGCAGAGACCTCAGAAGCAGCAGAACCTCTGGACACTGGTGGAAAATCTTTAAACAAGCAGTAATGCACAGACTTTGTGATTACACAGGGATGTGTAGAGACTGGCTAGTTCAAAATAAAGTCAACTTTGCTGGAAACAGCACATGAAGTCATAGAAGTGATGAAACCATTGCTGAACAGGATAAGAAGGGAGGCTTGGGACTTGAATCCTGAAGTTAAATAATTTGTTGAGCAAAATAAAAGGTAACCTTAAAAAAAAGAGGGGGCAGGTAAATGGCTTCAGCAGTGATAAGATGGAGACATGGAGGCAAAAAAAGAGGCCAAAAGATGCCTTGTGACAGCTAAAAGTATGGCCCGTGTCAAGCTGTATAACTGAGTAGGAGGATATAAGGGAGAGAAGACCATCTATAGCAGGGGTCGGCAACCTTTCAGAAGTGGTATGCCGAGTCTTCATTTATACATTCTAATTTAAGGCTTCGCGTGCCAGTAATAGGATTTTAACGTTTTTTACAAGGTCTCTCTGTAAGTCTATATATTAATTATATAACCAAACTACTGTTATATGTAAACTGTTATATGTAAAGTAAACAAGGTTTTCAAAATGTTTCAGAAGCTTTATTTAAAATTAAATTAAAATGCAGATCTTATCAGTTTGCCTTATCTGATCCTTGCCCTTGTTTTTCCTTGCTGAGTTTTCCAGTGTCTGGCACGTATTTGGATACTTTAAGCTGCACACAGGCTTCTGAGTGATCAGTTGTTAACTGGCTCTGAGAGGGACAGAGGACAGATTTCATGTGTGAAAATACCTGTTCACACAGGTCTGTAGACCAAATGCTGAAAGCATTGCAAATGCAATTTTCTTCAAACAGTTAAATTTCACTGGCAGGGACGTCCAGCAGGTCAGAATAGAGGCCCCATGATCTCTCTCAGTAGCTTCAAGTGCATTCCGCAGATCCACAAACTTTGATGTCCACAATTCTGAGCTTTTTAACTGAATGAGTTGCATTTCGAAATCTTCAGCACCCATCCACTGAAATACAGACACATCCAAGTCGCTTTCATTGAACTTTTCAGGTTTCATTGGAAAAGAAAGCACTGGGCCAAATCGCTGGAAACCTTGAAATATGTCAGAAAATTCTGATTCCAGTTCTTGCATGTACTTTTCAATCTCATAGACGTTGACAGTGCAACATGTTGATAGCTCTTTTATAAGTTGGAAGTAGCGGAAAGTAGAAGTTTGAATATCCCTGGAAAAAACTGCTAGTTTTACAACAAATGCGTTCCAGGTTTCATAAAGATCCAGAACTGTTTGCCCTGTACCCTGGAGACAGAGGTTGAGTTTGTTTAGGTGAGTGGTGATGTCAGTTAGAAACATGAGCTTACACAGCCATTTGTCATCATCCAGTTCGGGGTAGTTTTGTCTTTTTTCCGACAAAAAGGCCTTGATTGCATCAAAACAGTTTACAAAGTGCACCAAAACCTTGCCACGACTTAGCCACCGAATGTTGCTGTGAAGTGGGATGTTGTTATAAGCACTGTCCATCTCTTCTAGCAGTGCTTGAAACTATCTGTGAGTCAAAGCAGATCGAGCAACAAGGAAATTTACAATTCGCACCACTGTATTCATCACATTATTAAGCTCTGAATTAGAAATTTTAGCACACAGGTTTTCTTGATGGATGATACAGTGAAATTTGGCTGTTGGGCGGCCAGTTTGATCTTCAAGTAACTTTACAAATCCCTTGTTTTCCGACCATGGCAGGAGCACCATCTGCTGTCACACAAAATATTTTTCTGATGTCAACTCCTTGTTCTTCAAAATGGTTTACAAAATTTTCCACTATATCTTCCCCCTTTGTTGTGCCATGCAGCGGTTTTAGGCAACAAAGTTCCTCTTGGATTTCATCGGAAGCACAATATCTTGCAACAACTGCCAAACGTGGAACATCGTTTATATCCACGCTCTCATCAACTGCAACACTAAACACTGCTGTGTCTTTCAAAGCAGTCGTCTGCTTTTCCTTAATGTTTTCTGCCATTTCACTTATGCATCTCTCAACTGTTCTGGCAGAGATGGGTAGTTATTTTATTCTAGATATGATTGTATCTTTATTTGGCAAATCATTGAACAAAATCTCCAAACTGCAGAGAAAAACTTTTTATATATTCCCCATCTGTAAACGGCTTTCTGTTTTTTGCAATGCACTGTGCAATCTTGTAACTTCCTTCTGTAGCTTGATTTTTACTTACACTTAAGCTTTTAAAAACACTGCTTTGCTTCTCATATCCTGCTCCTGCCTTTTTGATCTATTCAGTCTTGTCTGCTTAGTCAAGAAAGGTTTTCTCGTGCTTCGTTTCAAAATGTCATCGAACACTTGATGTACGACAAACAACACTTTCGTAACAGAAAGCACAAACAGCACGGTCCTTCTTTTCAATAAATCCAAATGCATCTGTCCAAACAGGCTGAAATGATTGGACATCTAACTTCACTTTCTTAGGAGCTGACATTTTGTCAAGTGTTCCCTTCAACTCTCTGTGGGAAAAAAA